GGTAAGTAGGATCACTCCATAATTTTCTATTGAAAATCCAAATATCAGGCGGACATATGGGCCCACAGCTAAAAATCTATCAAAGACAATTGATGTCGCACTTGTTTGTAAAATACAAACTTACCCTTGAACATTTATAATATTTCACTAGGGCAATGTCTTAAATTTTTTGAAAATTTAAATATACCCCACATGTTTTAAAAATTGCAGTGGGGGCAGCTGCCCCTACTGTAGATTCGTCCCTGACTACCACCAGTAGTATACATGGGTTCGGAACCTCTTTATTTGGTAGCAAATTGATTTCGGTCAAATTCAATAATATATCATTAGGTTTAGTGATATTCACTAATAGGTTCTTGCCAATCCCGTGTAATCAAATAAATGAGGTAAGGGCCAGCTCAATCAGGTTCAACAGTTCAAGGCTTGAGTTCAAGTCTCACCAATTATTTGGCGATAATATACTTCTTTTTTTGGGTATAGAATTAGTAGTTAACGGTAGGCAAATAAAGGAATGAATGAGCAAATAAATTACATGGATGGTAAATTTGACAAAATTTGAAGATAAGATGGTCATTTATTAAATGGTAAATAATGTGAGTGAATGTCGGACTACCATAACAGTCCCAGTGGTTTACACTTGTCGCGCTCTTATGGGTTTTTCAGATTCTAGCTCTATTGAATGAAATACCAGCTTCATCAAGGAAGTATCAATTTGCAATGGCGATGGCAGACAGGATTGTAGACGACAATGCTAGAGACGGCCACGTGGAACTGGTGCAAATCAATCGTACGGCTCTGGCTTCAGCCTTTGCGCGTACATCAACCCTCTTGTACCGCGCACTCCAAAGCAGCCATGCAGTGGAGGATTCTGGCACATGGATAACACGCATCATCGGAGCTCTGCCATTAGGCTCCTACTTAGCTTCTTCGGTGAAGGGTCTCGGCTTATGTGCTAGCGCTATGTTTCCGTCCATTAGTGGCATCTGTGGTTTGGAGAAGCAGAGGCAACTAACGATAGCTGGCAGGGAGGGTTCTAATCATGTGCTGGGGGAGAAATACGCCCAGGAGCTTTTGTGGATAGCTAATAAGATGTGCGAGTGTGGTGTAGTGGATGATGCCTTGCTGCAGTGGAGCTTAGCCTCGGCTCTGGCTTCCCTTTCTCTCACTGCCAGCCCTAGGGTCCAAGGCTTCATTGTCAAAATTTCAGGTAAGAAATTTTCACTGTAATTCTTTTACGTAAATGCCAGTACAGGATAGCATTGTTTATTATTCAAAACAAAGAATCATTAGGATTATGATATTTATAGAAAGAGTAATGTTATTTGGACATAAAAATTTGATCTAATTTGTTGACATAATGATATGACTNCATCTTAATTTAATTCTATGGAAATATGCGCACATACTCTACAAACCAAGTTTAGTCTTAATGATGAACTAGTGGAACTTCTTGTTTGTCGGCTGAAATTATCAAATAATGTTCATTCATGCATAGCTATATTACTTGGAGAGCTTATTCGAGCAAAGCTGGAGGTCCCTAGGCAAGTGAAGATTAGGCTGCTGGTGCTTTGGCTTCCATTGTTTTGCTACGCAGACAACGGACTTGCATATCCAGTCCTGACGGGCTATGAGAAGGCAGAAATGGAGAGGATAATGGATGAAATGATCTCTGGCTTACCATCCATGGATCAAGAAGTAATACTCACAAATTGGTTGCAGGACTTCACTATGTCCACCTCAGATTGGCCTAACCTGCAAACCTCGTACGACCGGTGGTGCAACTCTACTCGCAAGCTTATTACCTGAGCTTATATATATTTACACGTGCGAGTATTATTTTAACTATGTGCTCGATCTCATGTATTTTGGTACTTATTCTGGTCTCTTTATAGATACGTGCTTGATCTCATGTCCTGTGGTTGTTATTCTGGGCTCTTTATTCTGAGATANTTTTAATTTAAAATTATCATTTACATCGTAGTTTTGAGAATTTAATTAGAAAACTTTTTTAATTATAGTTGTTCGATAGTAATTAGAATCTATCTAATATTGAAGTTCACTATTAATGAGATGAATTAAGTTGATTCCCAATTAATTTTCAATATTATTGTTCTTTCTTAACACGTTTCTAGGCTTTTTAACATATTTCAAGCCAGTAATTTGTTGTGACTGTCTTTTTGCTTTTCAATTCATTGTATAGAAAAGCTGTCCTTGTTTCTCAAAACCTTCACAAAACTTGCCCTTTGTTTTGCATGCGTTTAAGTATGCCACGTAGCACGTACCTCCCGTGGGAGGAACATCTGTTCCGTACCCATGCAGACTTTCTTGAAAGCCCTTTACGCCTCTAAACTACAGTCTGTCTCCGTCGTTAGCACTTACCACCTCCAAACAACCACCGGGGGTTGGAGCCAGACTTTTTTAGTCGCGGGGCAAATTTAATTATTAGTTAATTTTGTGTAATGTTTATAAATGATATCGAGAGTTGAAATTTAGCTTTGATATCAAAGGGACTACAAAAGTGGAGTTTATAAATCTTGTGAGTTGTTATATAAATTTTTAAGATTTTTTTCAAAAAAGAAAAAAATAAATAAATAAATTTTACAAAATTATAACTTTTATGCGTCATGTTATAATTTTTAGGATTAAAGTTACAATTTTTTTTGATCAAATTATAATTTTTGAGATACTTGAAATCAATCCTAAATATTAAAATCGATTGTTTTAATTCAAGATCAACCGTAAAATCTAAAAAATAACTTCTCAAATTTATTTAAATAAAAAATATTTTGCTGTTCTTGGAAAAAAGAAATTGGATGTGATGCNTTAATATTCCTTTTGCAGATGCATTAGAGCAAATGCCTAGCTACGTTAAATTTATGCCTAGCTCCAAATTGATTTGTGTTGGACTATCTCCTACTCTGACCATCTATTCAAATTTGTTTATAATTAATCAAATTTTTATTTCATTTAAAACAATTAAATCTAAAAAATAAAATATATGAACGCCAAAGATCGCTTCATATATTTTTTTTTTCGGTAAGTAGGATCACTCCATAATTTTCTATTGAAAATCCAAATATCAGGCGGACATATGGGCCCACAGCTAAAAATCTATCAAAGACAATTGATGTCGCACTTGTTTGTAAAATACAAACTTACCCTTGAACATTTATAATATTTCACTAGGGCAATGTCTTAAATTTTTTGAAAATTTAAATATACCCCACATGTTTTAAAAATTGCAGTGGGGGCAGCTGCCCCTACTGTAGATTCGTCCCTGACTACCACCAGTAGTATACATGGGTTCGGAACCTCTTTATTTGGTAGCAAATTGATTTCGGTCAAATTCAATAATATATCATTAGGTTTAGTGATATTCACTAATAGGTTCTTGCCAATCCCGTGTAATCAAATAAATGAGGTAAGGGCCAGCTCAATCAGGTTCAACAGTTCAAGGCTTGAGTTCAAGTCTCACCAATTATTTGGCGATAATATACTTCTTTTTTTGGGTATAGAATTAGTAGTTAACGGTAGGCAAATAAAGGAATGAATGAGCAAATAAATTACATGGATGGTAAATTTGACAAAATTTGAAGATAAGATGGTCATTTATTAAATGGTAAATAATGTGAGTGAATGTCGGACTACCATAACAGTCCCAGTGGTTTACACTTGTCGCGCTCTTATGGGTTTTTCAGATTCTAGCTCTATTGAATGAAATACCAGCTTCATCAAGGAAGTATCAATTTGCAATGGCGATGGCAGACAGGATTGTAGACGACAATGCTAGAGACGGCCACGTGGAACTGGTGCAAATCAATCGTACGGCTCTGGCTTCAGCCTTTGCGCGTACATCAACCCTCTTGTACCGCGCACTCCAAAGCAGCCATGCAGTGGAGGATTCTGGCACATGGATAACACGCATCATCGGAGCTCTGCCATTAGGCTCCTACTTAGCTTCTTCGGTGAAGGGTCTCGGCTTATGTGCTAGCGCTATGTTTCCGTCCATTAGTGGCATCTGTGGTTTGGAGAAGCAGAGGCAACTAACGATAGCTGGCAGGGAGGGTTCTAATCATGTGCTGGGGGAGAAATACGCCCAGGAGCTTTTGTGGATAGCTAATAAGATGTGCGAGTGTGGTGTAGTGGATGATGCCTTGCTGCAGTGGAGCTTAGCCTCGGCTCTGGCTTCCCTTTCTCTCACTGCCAGCCCTAGGGTCCAAGGCTTCATTGTCAAAATTTCAGGTAAGAAATTTTCACTGTAATTCTTTTACGTAAATGCCAGTACAGGATAGCATTGTTTATTATTCAAAACAAAGAATCATTAGGATTATGATATTTATAGAAAGAGTAATGTTATTTGGACATAAAAATTTGATCTAATTTGTTGACATAATGATATGACTTAAAATTTTTGGTTTCAATAGCATTGCTCTTTTACAAATATTATGTCATATTATTCGGCATTAAAATCTTAATTGAAGTTTTATGTGTGGCAATTTCCACTACCATATGCCAAGCTTACCCTTTATTATGTTAATAAACTAAAATGTCTTTAACCCTTTGCTCCATTATATATGCCCTAAGCCATCAACAACAGTCTCAAACATCAAATTTTATTAAATTAATATTCATATTCTTCAAAATTTCATTTAATCAATCAAATTCGCATTCAATTTAATTAAACTAATACTAAATTAATATTTAATTTCATAAAATTAATACTCAATTTAATCAAAATTAACTATCAATTTTATTAGTTTAACATTCAATTTTATTATATCAACATTAAATTTCATCAAATTTTACCAAATTAACATAAAATTTTACCATCAAATTTTATCAAATTAACGTAAAAATATAACTTAATTTGGTGATTTAATAATGTGACTTTAATAAAACTATTGAATTAACACCAAGTTTCAATGTTTGATGAGGTTCATAATCAATTCAAATGTTATAGTGAATTAATTTAATAAATTAGATTTCAATAACATTCCTTTTATCCATATATAATAACACATACGTATTATAGTGAAATAGTATGTTTTTCTGTTAGGCTATAACCAAGTTTTTGTTTTTTGAAAAAAATTACTTTTTTCCTTAAAAATATTTGGAACACCCTTGCCAAAAAATACATTATTTAATATTTGTCACATCCAAGAATAGAAAAGGGGGCTTTGAGCACAAAATAGGAATGAATTTATTGAGAAATGTTACACTGACCAAATTTTGAAATTAAATCAAGAGTCTAAATGACATGACAGTTGACTTATGCTTCTTTATTTGATATCATGTCATTTGGGCCCCAATAAAGATTTTAAATAAAATATTGTCATGTTATTTGAGTTCTTAATTTAATCTCAAAATTTAGTCAACATAACATTATTGGAATTCATTGGACCATGATGAAAAGTGACAAGTGGCCATATTTATGGCAATCACGAACCCAAGATGCTCCAAGTTGAAATGCTAAGATGACCTCATTATCATCTTAATTTAATTCTATGGAAATATGCGCACATACTCTACAAACCAAGTTTAGTCTTAATGATGAACTAGTGGAACTTCTTGTTTGTCGGCTGAAATTATCAAATAATGTTCATTCATGCATAGCTATATTACTTGGAGAGCTTATTCGAGCAAAGCTGGAGGTCCCTAGGCAAGTGAAGATTAGGCTGCTGGTGCTTTGGCTTCCATTGTTTTGCTACGCAGACAACGGACTTGCATATCCAGTCCTGACGGGCTATGAGAAGGCAGAAATGGAGAGGATAATGGATGAAATGATCTCTGGCTTACCATCCATGGATCAAGAAGTAATACTCACAAATTGGTTGCAGGACTTCACTATGTCCACCTCAGATTGGCCTAACCTGCAAACCTCGTACGACCGGTGGTGCAACTCTACTCGCAAGCTTATTACCTGAGCTTATATATATTTACACGTGCGAGTATTATTTTAACTATGTGCTCGATCTCATGTATTTTGGTACTTATTCTGGTCTCTTTATAGATACGTGCTTGATCTCATGTCCTGTGGTTGTTATTCTGGGCTCTTTATTCTGAGATATCTGTATACTTGTAGTCATTCTGATCTCCCCAATTTTAAGCATGAAGTCCAGTTAGTAATGGCACTAGAATTCTACAGGGTAAGATACCACTTTGAAAGAAATTCACGTTATTCTGTATATAGTGCATGTGCTTGCGGTGTGCCTGTCTGTGAAAGTATAGCAGAATCTATCTAGTAGCAAACTTCCTAGAAAATTATGCGCATGGATATTTCGCCGAGGTTGAAATATCCGTATCGGATACACATCATATGTAATTGATAATTAATAAAATATGTGATTACTTTGAGAATACTTTTACATATGGAATAAGATGTATAATTTTTAATTTTAATATCTAGCCTCTTTTTTCGGGTTTACATACAATATAAAATATCAAAAAAAAATTATTTGATTTTGAAGATACAAGTGTTTTTAAAGTATTATTTATTATTACATGTCAAAATAATATAAAAAAATGAGTTAATTATATTATAATTTTAGAAATAGATAATGATAAACAAACCAACTAGTTAAATATTTTTTATGATTCTTCCAATTGGTTGAGTTTATTTTATCGATATATATTCATGAGATAATATTACATATTTTTCAAGTTAAAAATTACTAATTTTACTTACTATTGTTAAATAACTATTAAAATTTGTAAATTTTAAGTTATTAAATAATAATAAAATATAAAATAGATTTTATTTTAGACATATCTTAGATGTATACGTATCCGATTTTCTTTAAGTTTTGTCATATTGTCGTATCTATATCGTATCGTATTAATATTCGTATTCTATTTTTTCAGATTTTTTTATATCGTTGTATCTGTATTGTATCGCATCAGTATCCATATTCGTACTTCCTAATGCAAGAATATAATGGTCCGATTGCAGAAGCTTTTGAGAAACCTATCTCAAAAAGATAGAAAATAAAGACCATATTTGGTTTGTGTTTATAAAACAATTTTTTGTTCTTAAAACTCCAAAAATAAGAAAAACCTATTTGGTTAAGTTTTTTCAATATCTAATTTCTAGAAAAAAAAGTGGGAATTGAGTTGGAGTTTTAGAGAACAAGTGGGGATGTTTTGGTAAAATTTGGGAACAAGTTTTCAGAAAAAAGAAGAAGAGAGAAGACGGGGAAAACAAGAGGGTCTAGTTAATGAGATCTCACCATCGAATCTCATTAGATACAAATATATGTCCTTATTATATAAAACCTAAAACCCTCAAAAGCATGACGATGAAAGAGCACTGACGATGACAAAGAGCACCAACACTACGAGCACCGACGAAGGCCGAAGGTAGACAATGAATTCCTGCTGCACTCTCTCTCTCTCTCTCTCTTGCAACTCATCTTCTCTATCTATCTCTTTCCAGAAAATCTATATATATATTTACAAATCTATGTATTTTTATAGATCTGAACATAGATTTGTGTGTGTGTGTGTATTGTGCGATATGTGTTTACTATGTGGGTGGGTGTGTTTGTTATGCGATGCACGTGGGTGTGTTTGTTGTGTGCGATGGTTGTGTGTGTGTGTGGGTAGGTGATGAGTGAGTTTTATACCTACGAATTGAGTATTTTCGGTTTGATAAAATTGTAAGTTTTCAATTATTTTATGTTCATTTTTATTTGTTTTGTGTGTTTTGATGTTATTTTTGTAGGAATGATCATTTGGAAGGAATCATGATTAAAAGGGGAGAAACTAGGTCAATTTGGAGCCTAAAAAGTGGTTTTTTGGACGAGGAAGCTAAAGGGCAATTTTAGGCCTACAAAGGGGGGCGAGCCCCTGCGCCAACCTATTATCCTTATAACGCCCTTGCATAGATTTATGGCGTCCCCGCGCATGTGTTGGTCTGTAACGCAAATTTTGACTTATTTTTGACCCGAAATTGGACTCTAAAGCTACATATATGCTAGGGTTTGTGTGTGGATGATATATTCTGACTTTTAGGGGCTGAAAACATCTGAAAAAGCCAAGAAATTGGAAGAAAATTGAAGACAAGAATCGAAGGAATCGACACAAAGAAGATTGGACTTGAAAGCTAGAGAAGGATTGAAGCTTGCACCTAAGTTTTCATTCTTTGCTTACTTTTATTTCTTGATTTCCTAAGATGTTGTTTAATTTCANATCTCCTACTCTGACCATCTATTCAAATTTGTTTATAATTAATCAAATTTTTATTTCATTTAAAACAATTAAATCTAAAAAATAAAATATATGAACGGCCAAGATCGCTTCATATATTTTCTTTTTTGGTAAGTAGGATCACTCCATAATTTTCTATTGAAAATCCAAATATCAGGCGGACATATGGGCCCACAGCTAAAAATCTATCAAAGACAATTGATGTCGCACTTGTTTGTAAAATACAAACTTACCCTTGAACATTTATAATATTTCACTAGGGCAATGTCTTAAATTTTTTGAAAATTTAAATATACCCCACATGTTTTAAAAATTGCAGTGGGGGCAGCTGCCCCTACTGTAGATTCGTCCCTGACTACCACCAGTAGTATACATGGGTTCGGAACCTCTTTATTTGGTAGCAAATTGATTTCGGTCAAATTCAATAATATATCATTAGGTTTAGTGATATTCACTAATAGGTTCTTGCCAATCCCGTGTAATCAAATAAATGAGGTAAGGGCCAGCTCAATCAGGTTCAACAGTTCAAGGCTTGAGTTCAAGTCTCACCAATTATTTGGCGATAATATACTTCTTTTTTTGGGTATAGAATTAGTAGTTAACGGTAGGCAAATAAAGGAATGAATGAGCAAATAAATTACATGGATGGTAAATTTGACAAAATTTGAAGATAAGATGGTCATTTATTAAATGGTAAATAATGTGAGTGAATGTCGGACTACCATAACAGTCCCAGTGGTTTACACTTGTCGCGCTCTTATGGGTTTTTCAGATTCTAGCTCTATTGAATGAAATACCAGCTTCATCAAGGAAGTATCAATTTGCAATGGCGATGGCAGACAGGATTGTAGACGACAATGCTAGAGACGGCCACGTGGAACTGGTGCAAATCAATCGTACGGCTCTGGCTTCAGCCTTTGCGCGTACATCAACCCTCTTGTACCGCGCACTCCAAAGCAGCCATGCAGTGGAGGATTCTGGCACATGGATAACACGCATCATCGGAGCTCTGCCATTAGGCTCCTACTTAGCTTCTTCGGTGAAGGGTCTCGGCTTATGTGCTAGCGCTATGTTTCCGTCCATTAGTGGCATCTGTGGTTTGGAGAAGCAGAGGCAACTAACGATAGCTGGCAGGGAGGGTTCTAATCATGTGCTGGGGGAGAAATACGCCCAGGAGCTTTTGTGGATAGCTAATAAGATGTGCGAGTGTGGTGTAGTGGATGATGCCTTGCTGCAGTGGAGCTTAGCCTCGGCTCTGGCTTCCCTTTCTCTCACTGCCAGCCCTAGGGTCCAAGGCTTCATTGTCAAAATTTCAGGTAAGAAATTTTCACTGTAATTCTTTTACGTAAATGCCAGTACAGGATAGCATTGTTTATTATTCAAAAGAAAGAATCATTAGGATTATGATATTTATAGAAAGAATAATGTTATTTGGACATAAAAATTTGATCTAATTTGTTGACATAATGATATGATTTAAAATTTTTGGTTTCAATAGCATTGCTCTTTTACAAATATTATGTCATATTATTCGGCATTAAAATCTTAATTGAAGTTTTATGTGTGGCAATTTCCACTACCATATGCCAAGCTTACCCTTTATTATGTTAATAAACTAAAATGTCTTTAACCCTTTGCTCCATTATATATGCCCTAAGCCATCAACAACAGTCTCAAACATCAAATTTTATTAAATTAATATTCATATTCTTCAAAATTTCATTTAATCAATCAAATTCGCATTCAATTTAATTAAACTAATACTAAATTAATATTTAATTTCATAAAATTAATACTCAATTTAATCAAAATTAACTATCAATTTTATTAGTTTAACATTCAATTTTATTATATCAACATTAAATTTCATCAAATTTTACCAAATTAACATAAAATTTTACCATCAAATTTTATCAAATTAACGTAAAAATATAACTTAATTTGGTGATTTAATAATGTGACTTTAATAAAACTATTGAATTAACACCAAGTTTCAATGTTTGATGAGGTTCATAATCAATTCAAATGTTATAGTGAATTAATTTAATAAATTAGGTTTCAATAACATTCTTTTTATCCATATATAATAACACATACGTATTATAGTGAAATAGTATGTTTTTCTGTTAGGCTATAACCAAGTTTTTGTTTTTTGAAAAAAATTACTTTTTTCCTTAAAAATATTTGGAACACCCTTGCCAAAAAATACATTATTTAATATTTGTCACATCCAAGAATAGAAAAGGGGGCTTTGAGCACAAAATAGGAATGAATTTATTGAGAAATGTTATACTGACCAAATTTTGAAATCAAATCAAGAGTCTAAATGACATGACAGTTGACTTATGTTTCTTTATTTGATATCATGTCATTTGGGCCCCAATAAAGATTTTAAATAAAATATTGTCATGTCATTTGAGCTCTTAATTTAATCTCAAAATTTAGTCAACATAACATTATTGGAATTCATTGGACCATGATGAAAAGTGACAAGTGGCCATATTTATGGCAATCACGAACCCAAGATGCTCCAAGTTGAAATGCTAAGATGACCTCATTATCATCTTAATTTAATTCTATGGAAATATGGGCACATACTCTACAAACCAAGTTTAGTCTTAATGATGAACTAGTGGAACTTCTTGTTTGTCGGCTGAAATTATCAAATAATGTTCATTCATGCATAGCTATATTACTTGGAGAGCTTATTCGAGCAAAGCTGGAGGTCCCTAGGCAAGTGAAGATTAGGCTGCTGGTGCTTTGGCTTCCATTGTTTTGCTACGCAGACAACGGACTTGCATATCCAGTCCTGACGGGCTATGAGAAGGCAGAAATGGAGAGGATAATGGATGAAATGATCTCTGGCTTACCATCCATGGATCAAGAAGTAATACTCACAAATTGGTTGCAGGACTTCACTATGTCCACCTCAGATTGGCCTAACCTGCAAACCTCGTACGACCGGTGGTGCAACTCTACTCGCAAGCTTATTACCTGAGCTTATATATATTTACACGTGCGAGTATTATTTTAACTATGTGCTCGATCTCATGTATTTTGGTACTTATTCTGGTCTCTTTATAGATACGTGCTTGATCTCATGTCCTGTGGTTGTTATTCTGGGCTCTTTATTCTGAGATATCTGTATACTTGTAGTCATTCTGATCTCCCCAATTTTAAGCATGAAGTCCAGTTAGTAATGGCACTAGAATTCTACAGGGTAAGATACCACTTTGAAAGAAATTCACGTTATTCTGTATATAGTGCATGTGCTTGCGGTGTGCCTGTCTGTGAAAGTATAGCAGAATCTATCTAGTAGCAAACTTCCTAGAAAATTATGCGCATGGATATTTCGCCGAGGTTGAAATATCCGTATCGGATACACATCATATGTAATTGATAATTAATAAAATATGTGATTACTTTGAGAATACTTTTACATATGGAATAAGATGTATAATTTTTAATTTTAATATCTAGCCTCTTTTTTCGGGTTTACATACAATATAAAATATCAAAAAAAAATTATTTGATTTTGAAGATACAAGTGTTTTTAAAGTATTATTTATTATTACATGTCAAAATAATATAAAAAAATGAGTTAATTATATTATAATTTTAGAAATAGATAATGATAAACAAACCAACTAGTTAAATATTTTTTATGATTCTTCCAATTGGTTGAGTTTATTTTATCGATATATATTCATGAGATAATATTACATATTTTTCAAGTTAAAAATTACTAATTTTACTTACTATTGTTAAATAACTATTAAAATTTGTAAATTTTAAGTTATTAAATAATAATAAAATATAAAATAGATTTTATTTTAGACATATCTTAGATGTATACGTATCCGATTTTCTTTAAGTTTTGTCATATTGTCGTATCTATATCGTATCGTATTAATATTCGTATTCTATTTTTTCAGATTTTTTTATATCGTTGTATCTGTATTGTATCGCATCAGTATCCATATTCGTACTTCCTAATGCAAGAATATAATGGTCCGATTGCAGAAGCTTTTGAGAAACCTATCTCAAAAAGATAGAAAATAAAGACCATATTTGGTTTGTGTTTATAAAACAATTTTTTGTTCTTAAAACTCCAAAAATAAGAAAAACCTATTTGGTTAAGTTTTTTCAATATCTAATTTCTAGAAAAAAAAAGTGGGAATTGAGTTAGAGTTTTAGAGAACAAGTGGGGATGTTTTGGTAAAATTTGGGAACAAGTTTTCAGAAAAAAAAAGAAGAGAGAAGACAGGGGAAACAAGAGGGTCTAGTTAATGAGATCTCACCATCGAATCTCATTAGATACAAATATATGTCCTTATTATATAAAACCTAAAACCCTCAAAAGCATGACGATGAAAGAGCACTGACGATGCCAAAGAGCACCAACACTACGAGCACCGACGAAGGCCGAAGGTAGACAATGAATTCCTGCTACACTCTCTCTCTCTCTCTCTCTTGCAACTCATCTTCTCTATCTATCTCTTTCCAGCAAATCTATATATATTTACTAATCTATGTATTTATATAGATCTGAACATAGATTTGTGTGTGTGTGTGTATTGTGCGATATGTGTTTACTATGTGGGTGGGTGTGTTTGTTATGCGATGTATGTGGGTGTGTTTGTTGTGTGCGATGGTTGTGTGTGTGTGTGGGTAGGTGATGAGTGAGTTTTATACCTACGAATTGAGTATTTTCGGTTTGATAAAATTGTAAGTTTTCAATTATTTTATGTTCATTTTTATTTGTTTTGTGTGTTTTGATGTTATTTTTGTAGGAATGATCATTTGGAAGGAATTATGATTAAAAGGGGTTTTTTGGAAGAGGAAGCTAAAGGGCAATTTTAGGCCTACAAAGGGGGGTGCGCCCCTGCGCCAACCTACTGTCCTTATAACGCCCTTGCACAGATTTATGGCGTCCCCACGCATGTGTTGGTCTGTAACGCAAATTTTGACTTATTTTTGACCCGAAATTGGACTCTAAAGCTACATATATGCTAGGGTTTGTGTGTGGATGATATATTCTGACTTTTAGGGGCTGAAAACATCTGAAAAAGCCAAGAAATTGGAAGAAAATTGAAGACAAGAATCGAAGGAATCGACACAAAGAAGATTGGACTTGAAAGCTAGAGAAGGATTGAAGCTTGCACCTAAGTTTTCATTCTTTGCTTACTTTTATTTCTTGATTTCCTAAGATGTTTAATTTTAGAATGATGTTTTTCAATTACGTTATGAACTAAATTATTATTAAGATTGCAACGGAACCTATGTCTAGCTAAATTAATCTACTCTCGTTTCTAGTTCTTATTGATCTTATATGAGTTGTTTGTCATATTTTGTGATTGATGTATGATTGTGTGACCAACAATTAGTTTGATAACCTAGATGAAATTGGGAGATGAATTCTAGGTTTAGATATGAATATGATAACATGCGTCTGGTTAATTCTTCTTAGAATTGAATAGCTGAGTTTGTGTATATGATAGAAATATACCTACATGCCGTGTATAACTTTTATGAGATTTTGAACTTAATGAATCTATTCTAACTTATTTTGCATAGGAATATAGTAATTTAATTGGGATAGATAATTTTATCTAACTATCGGAAGAGGTTTGATAAATAACTTTGAGTTCTCGGTTAACAACTTATTTTGATCAATTAACTGGAAAGAGAGTTAGAAAGATTTATATGAAGCATTAGGAGAAGTTGTAATCTTAAGTTCTTTTACCCGGTAAATTCAACCCTTGATTATTAAGTTTAAGTTTAGGTTTAGTTTTACATTAGTAAATTCATAGTTCAATTTCAGTTGTTTAAATAAAATTGAATTGATATAAAGTTAGTACTTGAAATTTGTTAGCAATAATTCTTCGTGGGAACGATACTCTACTTATCACTTTATTACTTGTTGATCGTGTATACTTGCACGTAAATTGTTAATATCAAATTCGGACAACAAGTTTTTGGCGCCGTTGCCGGGGACTTATTCTAGTAATTATTTCAATATTAATTTCAATCAATTTGATTTTAGTTTAAACTTATTTAATTTTATGTTTTCCTTTACTGTTTAATTATTTTTGTAAGCACTCTTGAATTTTGTTTGCAAACACGATGCACAGGTCAGGAGCTACTGCCGTTCAAAGACGAAATCGAAAGAAGGCCCCGAAATTTTTGAAAACAGTGTCAAGAAGTAAACAACCAAGAAGCTCTGGCCGAAGAAGAACATAAATCGCTAGGGTTGTCAAATGTGTCGGGTTAAACGGTGACGGGTGAAAAATGTATAAACCCGTATACGACATATTTAATAAATGGGTAAAAAAATCTTAACACAAACATAACCCATTTAATAAATGGGTAAAAAGATACGACTCGTTTAATTTTTAAAAAAATTATATTAACAAATTTTAATACTCTATTTTTTTTATTGTCAATTGCACTTACCTCAAAAAAGAGAAATTTTTAGCCAAATCTCATATCTCATAAAAATAAGACTTGAAAGCTTAAAAAAAAAAGCAAGAGGTCATTGCTTTTTATAGGTAAATCAACCCTCCCCATCTCCCCTCATTTTTCAATGTGGAATAAAAACAAAAGACATTGATTTGCCTTTGTCTTTGAAGTGCTCTTCATCTCCTCTCTTTTTGTCTTTGAACTACTACTTTATTTCTTTTTTCTTATTGATTTCTTTACTTTTTTTTTCTTGCTAATTTTTTAAAATAACTATTAATTTATTATTATATTAATTTTATTTAAACGGGTAAATGTGTAATAAACGGTTTGACAGGTCTCACCCGAACACGACCCGTTTATTAAACGTGTTTGGCGTGTCAACCCGTTTATCACTCAAATCCGTCAAGATCTCACCTAAACCCATTTAATTCGTGTCGGTTAATCGTGTTGTGTCGAATTTTAACAACCCTAGAAATCGCTAAGGAATTATGCTATGCCGCTTGTTACAGAAATATAATCAAGCATTCAAAGGCCCGCAATTCAAGCAAATAATTTTGAAATCAAGCCGGGTACCATCCAAATGATTCAAAATTCAGTTCAGTTTAGGGGTTTGCCTAATGACGACCCAAATGATCATTTGGTGAGTTTTCTGGAAATGTGCGACACGTTCAAATACAATGGGGTTTCCGAAGAGACAATTAGACTCCAACTTTTCCCTTTCACATTTCGTGATAAGGTGAAGAGTTGGTTGCATTCATTATCGTCGGGTTCTATTACTACGTGGACAAATTTAGCTCAAACATTTTTAACTAAATTTTTTTATCAACTAAAACTGCAAGGATGAGGAATGACATCGCATCATTCACACAACATGATTTTGAGACTTTTTATGAAGATTGGGAGCGATTCAAAGATTTACTACGAAAACATCCTCACCATGGTATTTCTAAGTGGTTGCAAGTTCAGACATTCTACAATGGGTTGTTTAGTGCTACCCGGACTAGTATCGATGCAGTTGCAGGTGGGGCATTAATGGGGAAAAATTTTGATGANCCAACAATTAGTTTGATAACCTAGATGAAATTGGGAGATGAATTCTAGGTTTAGATATGAATATGATAACATGCGTCTGGTTAATTCTTCTTAGAATTGAATAGCTGAGTTTGTGTATAGGNTTTGATGAGGTTCATAATCAATTCAAATGTTATAGTGAATTAATTTAATAAATTAGATTTCAATAACATTCCTTTTATTCNTTTGATGAGGTTCATAATCAATTCAAATGTTATAGTGAATTAATTTAATAAATTAGGTTTCAATAACATTCTTTTTATCCNGCAGGGATTTATGAAGTGGATGCAGTTACTGCATTAGCTGCACAGGTTGCTACATTAACAAAGAAGATTGATGTTTTAGGGATGCAACCTATTCAAAGTGTGGCAGTCATTTGTGAATTGTGTGCTGGGAACCATTTGAGTGATCAATGGACAATCAATCCGGAGTCGGTACAATTCATTGATAATCACAACATGCAACAATAAAGCAATAATTCCAACAACTATAACTCTGGTTGGAGGAATCATTTNCCATATATAATAACACATACGTATTATAGTGAAATAGTATGTTTTTCTGTTAGGCTATAACCAAGTTTTTGTTTTTTGAAAAAAATTACTTTTTTCCTTAAAAATATTTGGAACACCCTTGCCAAAAAATACATTATTTAATATTTGTCACATCCAAGANAGTTGTAATCTTAAGTTCTTTTACCCGGTAAATTCAACCCTTGATTATTAAGTTTAAGTTTAGGTTTAGTTTTACATTAGTAAATTCATAGTTCAATTTCNGAATAGAAAAGGGGGCTTTGAGCACAAAATAGGAATGAATTTATTGAGAAATGTTATACTGACCAAATTTTGAAATCAAATCAAGAGTCTAAATGACATGACAGTTGACTTATGTTTCTTTATTTGATATCATGTCATTTGGGCCCCAATAAAGATTTTAAATAAAATATTGTCATGTCATTTGAGCTNGAATAGAAAAGGGGGCTTTGAGCACAAAATAGGAATGAATTTATTGAGAAATGTTACACTGACCAAATTTTGAAATTAAATCAAGAGTCTAAATGACATGACAGTTGACTTATGCTTCTTTATTTGATATCATGTCATTTGGGCCCCAATAAAGATTTTAAATAAAATATTGTCATGTTATTTGAGTTCTTAATTTAATCTCAAAATTTAGTCAACATAACATTATTGGAATTCATTGGACCATGATGAAAAGTGACAAGTGGCCATATTTATGGCAATCACGAACCCAAGATGCTCCAAGTTGAAATGCTAAGATGACCTCATTATCATCTTAATTTAATTCTATGGAAATATGCGCACATACTCTACAAACCAAGTTTAGTCTTAATGATGAACTAGTGGAACTTCTTGTTTGTCGGCTGAAATTATCAAATAATGTTCATTCATGCATAGCTATATTACTTGGAGAGCTTATTCGAGCAAAGCTGGAGGTCCCTAGGCAAGTGAAGATTAGGCTGCTGGTGCTTTGGCTTCCATTGTTTTGCTACGCAGACAACGGACTTGCATATCCAGTCCTGACGGGCTATGAGAAGGCAGAAATGGAGAGGATAATGGATGAAATGATCTCTGGCTTACCATCCATGGATCAAGAAGTAATACTCACAAATTGGTTGCAGGACTTCACTATGTCCACCTCAGATTGGCCTAACCTGCAAACCTCGTACGACCGGTGGTGCAACTCTACTCGCAAGCTTATTACCTGAGCTTATATATATTTACACGTGCGAGTATTATTTTAACTATGTGCTCGATCTCATGTATTTTGGTACTTATTCTGGTCTCTTTATAGATACGTGCTTGATCTCATGTCCTGTGGTTGTTATTCTGGGCTCTTTATTCTGAGATATCTGTATACTTGTAGTCATTCTGATCTCCCCAATTTTAAGCATGAAGTCCAGTTAGTAATGGCACTAGAATTCTACAGGGTAAGATACCACTTTGAAAGAAATTCACGTTATTCTGTATATAGTGCATGTGCTTGCGGTGTGCCTGTCTGTGAAAGTATAGCAGAATCTATCTAGTAGCAAACTTCCTAGAAAATTATGCGCATGGATATTTCGCCGAGGTTGAAATATCCGTATCGGATACACATCATATGTAATTGATAATTAATAAAATATGTGATTACTTTGAGAATACTTTTACATATGGAATAAGATGTATAATTTTTAATTTTAATATCTAGCCTCTTTTTTCGGGTTTACATACAATATAAAATATCAAAAAAAAATTATTTGATTTTGAAGATACAAGTGTTTTTAAAGTATTATTTATTATTACATGTCAAAATAATATAAAAAAATGAGTTAATTATATTATAATTTTAGAAATAGATAATGATAAACAAACCAACTAGTTAAATATTTTTTATGATTCTTCCAATTGGTTGAGTTTATTTTATCGATATATATTCATGAGATAATATTACATATTTTTCAAGTTAAAAATTACTAATTTTACTTACTATTGTTAAATAACTATTAAAATTTGTAAATTTTAAGTTATTAAATAATAATAAAATATAAAATAGATTTTATTTTAGACATATCTTAGATGTATACGTATCCGATTTTCTTTAAGTTTTGTCATATTGTCGTATCTATATCGTATCGTATTAATATTCGTATTCTATTTTTTCAGATTTTTTTATATCGTTGTATCTGTATTGTATCGCATCAGTATCCATATTCGTACTTCCTAATGCAAGAATATAATGGTCCGATTGCAGAAGCTTTTGAGAAACCTATCTCAAAAAGATAGAAAATAAAGACCATATTTGGTTTGTGTTTATAAAACAATTTTTTGTTCTTAAAACTCCAAAAATAAGAAAAACCTATTTGGTTAAGTTTTTTCAATATCTAATTTCTAGAAAAAAAAAGTGGGAATTGAGTTAGAGTTTTAGAGAACAAGTGGGGATGTTTTGGTAAAATTTGGGAACAAGTTTTCAGAAAAAAAAAGAAGAGAGAAGACAGGGGAAACAAGAGGGTCTAGTTAATGAGATCTCACCATCGAATCTCATTAGATACAAATATATGTCCTTATTATATAAAACCTAAAACCCTCAAAAGCATGACGATGAAAGAGCACTGACGATGCCAAAGAGCACCAACACTACGAGCACCGACGAAGGCCGAAGGTAGACAATGAATTCCTGCTACACTCTCTCTCTCTCTCTCTCTTGCAACTCATCTTCTCTATCTATCTCTTTCCAGCAAATCTATATATATTTACTAATCTATGTATTTATATAGATCTGAACATAGATTTGTGTGTGTGTGTGTATTGTGCGATATGTGTTTACTATGTGGGTGGGTGTGTTTGTTATGCGATGTATGTGGGTGTGTTTGTTGTGTGCGATGGTTGTGTGTGTGTGTGGGTAGGTGATGAGTGAGTTTTATACCTACGAATTGAGTATTTTCGGTTTGATAAAATTGTAAGTTTTCAATTATTTTATGTTCATTTTTATTTGTTTTGTGTGTTTTGATGTTATTTTTGTAGGAATGATCATTTGGAAGGAATTATGATTAAAAGGGGTTTTTTGGAAGAGGAAGCTAAAGGGCAATTTTAGGCCTACAAAGGGGGGTGCGCCCCTGCGCCAACCTACTGTCCTTATAACGCCCTTGCACAGATTTATGGCGTCCCCACGCATGTGTTGGTCTGTAACGCAAATTTTGACTTATTTTTGACCCGAAATTGGACTCTAAAGCTACATATATGCTAGGGTTTGTGTGTGGATGATATATTCTGACTTTTAGGGGCTGAAAACATCTGAAAAAGCCAAGAAATTGGAAGAAAATTGAAGACAAGAATCGAAGGAATCGACACAAAGAAGATTGGACTTGAAAGCTAGAGAAGGATTGAAGCTTGCACCTAAGTTTTCATTCTTTGCTTACTTTTATTTCTTGATTACCTAAGATGTTGTTTAATTTCAGAATGATGTTTTTCAATTACATTATGAACTAAATTATTATTAAGATTGCAACGGAACCTATGTCTAGCTAAATTAATCTACTCTCGTTTCTAGTTCTTATTGATCTTATATGAGTTGTTTGTCATATTTTGTGATTGATGTATGATTGTGTGACCAACAATTAGTTTGATAACCTAGATGAAATTGGGAGATGAATTCTAGGTTTAGATATGAATATGATAACATGCGTCTGGTTAATTCTTCTTAGAATTGAATAGCTGAGTTTGTGTATAGGATAGAAATATACCTACATGCCGTGTATAACTTTTATGAGATTTTGAACTTAATGAATCTATTCTAACTTATTTTGCATAGGAATATAGTAATTTAATTGGGATAGATAATTTTATCTAACTATCGGAAGAGGTTTGATAAATAACTTTGAGTTCTCGGTTAACAACTTATTTTGATCAATTAACTGGAAAGAGAGTTAGAAAGATTTATACGAAGCATTAGGAGAAGTTGTAATCTTAAGTTCTTTTACCCGGTAAATTCAACCCTTGATTATTAAGTTTAAGTTTAGGTTTAGTTTTACATTAGTAAATTCATAGTTCAATTTCAGTTGTTTAAATAAAATTGAATTGATATAAAGTTAGTACTTGAAATTTGTTAGCAATAATTCTTCGTGGGAACGATACTCTACTTATCACTTTATTACTTGTTGATCGTGTATACTTGCACGTAAATTGTTAATATCAAATTCGGACAACAAGTTTTTGGCGCCGTTGCCGGGGACTTATTCTAGTAATTATTTCAATATTAATTTCAATCAATTTGATTTTAGTTTAAACTTATTTAATTTTATGTTTTCCTTTACTGTTTAATTATTTTTGTAAGCACTCTTGAATTTTGTTTGCAAACACGATGCACAGGTCAGGAGCTACTGCCGTTCAAAGACGAAATCGAAAGAAGGCCCCGAAATTTTTGAAAACAGTGTCAAGAAGTAAACAACCAAGAAGCTATGGCCGAAGAAGAACAGAAATCGCTAGGGTTGTCAAATGTGTCGGGTTAAACGGTTACGTATCGGGTTAAACGGTGACGGGTGAAAAATGTATAAACCCGTATACGACATATTTAATAAATGGGTAAAAAAATCTTAACACAAACATAACCCATTTAATAAATGGGTAAAAAGATACGACTCGTTTAATTTTTAAAAAAATTATATTAACAAATTTTAATACTCTATTTTTTTTATTGTCAATTGCACTTACCTCAAAAAAGAGAAATTTTTAGCCAAATCTCATATCTCATAAAAATAAGACTTGAAAGCTTAAAAAAAAAAGCAAGAGGTCATTGCTTTTTATAGGTAAATCAACCCTCCCCATCTCCCCTCATTTTTCAATGTGGAATAAAAACAAAAGACATTGATTTGCCTTTGTCTTTGAAGTGCTCTTCATCTCCTCTCTTTTTGTCTTTGAACTACTACTTTATTTCTTTTTTCTTATTGATTTCTTTACTTTTTTTTTCTTGCTAATTTTTTAAAATAATTATTAATTTATTATTATATTAATTTTATTTAAACGGGTAAATGTGTAATAAACGGTTTGACAGGTCTCACCCGAACACGACCCGTTTATTAAACGTGTTTGGCGTGTCAACCCGTTTATCACTCAAATCCGTCAAGATCTCACCTAAACCCATTTAATTCGTGTCGGTTAATCGTGTTGTGTCGAATTTTAACAACCCTAGAAATCGCTAAGGAATTATGCTATGCCGCTTGTTACAGAAATATAATCAAGCATTCAAAGGCCCGCAATTCAAGCAAATAATTTTGAAATCAAGCCGGGTACCATCCAAATGATTCAAAATTCAGTTCAGTTTAGGGGTTTGCCTAATGACGACCCAAATGATCATTTGGTGAGTTTTCTGGAAATGTGCGACACGTTCAAATACAATGGGGTTTCCGAAGAGACAATTAGACTCCAACTTTTCCCTTTCACATTTCGTGATAAGGTGAAGAGTTGGTTGCATTCATTATCGTCGGGTTCTATTACTACGTGGACAAATTTAGCTCAAACATTTTTAACTAAATTTTTTTATCAACTAAAACTGCAAGGATGAGGAATGACATCGCATCATTCACACAACATGATTTTGAGACTTTTTATGAAGATTGGGAGCGATTCAAAGATTTACTACGAAAACATCCTCACCATGGTATTTCTAAGTGGTTGCAAGTTCAGACATTCTACAATGGGTTGTTTAGTGCTACCCGGACTAGTATCGATGCAGTTGCAGGTGGGGCATTAATGGGGAAAAATTTTGATGAAACTTACGAGTTGTTGGAGACGATGGCTGCTAACAATTATTAGTGGCTCTCTGCAAGGATCAATTAGCCAAAGGTAGCAGGGATTTATGAAGTGGATGCAGTTACTGCATTAGCTGCACAGGTTGCTACATTAACAAAGAAGATTGATGTTTTAGGGATGCAACCTATTCAAAGTGTGGCAGTTATTTGTGAATTGTGTGCTGGGAACCATTTGAGTGATCAATGGACAATCAATCCGGAGTCGGTACAATTCATTGATAATCACAACATGCAACAATAAAGCAATAATTCCAACAACTATAACTCTGGTTGGAGGAATCATCTGTTTTCATGGAATAATAATCAAGCTCAACCTTCTACTCCAAGACAATCATACCCACCAGGCTTTCAGAATTAAACTCCACCACAACAAGAAAAGAAGTCGAATTTGAAGGATCTGCTTTCCAGGTATATAGCACAAA